GAGCGAGCCGGCGAGTGCCGGGCGGAGGGGTGCGGCCAGCCGCTGATTGTAACGCAGTCCTAGGGTCGCTAGACTCGGATTTAAAAGTCGTTTAGTCCAGGCCAACACACATCATTATGACCTCATCGTACCCCACTGTTCATTTTCAGTCTTCTTTCCGGTCTCTCATTTAAGATTCTTACTGCTAGGCCCTTGGGCCTCTGTCCTGTTCAGCGAGTTTCTCTCTTCCTGGTCCAGCTGATGGATCCCATAAATTAAGGACCCCTACCTGCTGCTGGCTTTCTCGGGTTCGTTCTTTGCTGAGCGTCACACCTGATTATTCAATTGGCTACTGCCTCAAAGTCTTATCAAACCTAAAAAGTCCAGACCGGAGCTTTCGATTTATGCCTGGCCCTCCAGCCAGTCGGTCCTTTGGTCTCCATCTCAGTAAAGGAATCCACCTTTCACCCAGCTGCTCAAACCAGTGATTTCTTGAGTGACTCTGGGCACTGCTCACCTCTCCATCTATAACTCTCCAGCAGGTTCTGCTGGTCCTATACCTGGTGTCTATCGTTCTTCCACTTTGAATCATTTACTCTACCACCTCTCTAATCTAATCTCAGCTCCCCTATTGTCTGCCCCTTCCACCCTTGATCTCTAAAGTCACCCCACCATCCTTGTCCCCACCCCATCCAAGCCTGTAGATAAAAGCATCCAAGCCTTTAAAAACCAGATTCAGTTTGGTTTTTACTTCCTTTTAAAGTCCAAACTTCTCTCTCTCCATAACCTATCTCTGGGCTAGATCCAACCCTTGCCTACTTCTCTCTTCTTTAATCTCATGTTCCTCTTCCTCTAATTACACTTTCATTCTCCAAGAAGCCAAGCTGACTCTCGACCCCAGACGGCTTTTTAAGTCTTTTGACCTTTTAAGTCTCAGATGTCACATACTCAGTGTATCAGTTTTTTCATTACAGTTGGTATCAGTGAAGTGGGATTTTCTAGGATGGCCCTGGCTCATGGAAATGTGGTTTGGGAAGAGAAAGTATAAAAGGATGGGGGATGAGGAACCTTTGATCCCCAATGGCTACTGTCAACCGATGGTAGTTGATGTCAATTCAGCGCCAACAGGAACCCCGAATTTGGCGTGTGGTGAGGAAGGAAACTTCCTACAGCTCCATGGTAACACAGCATGGCTATAAAAACAGCACTGCGGTGGAACGCTTGCTCCAGTGAGCCCTCCTCCGTGTTTCAGCTCTGGCCAGGAAAAGAGTCTTCAGTGAAAAATAAGATCCTGGAGCCTCAGGGGAGCTGACTTATATAGACAGAAGTCCCCGCCTCTGGTTCGTGATTGGTCGTAACAGACCCACTCTGATTGGTCAGGGCTGTGCAGGTCTGATTAGATGGGGAAAGCCTCAGTCCTATTGGTTGAAACAGGACTCCAGGAATTCCTTTTAAGGGCTGGCTCAGATGGCAGAAACACAGGGCAGGCAGGTTAGAGGCTTCTCTGCCTTTTTAATTTTAACAAGTATTTACTGAGTACATAGTATGTGCCTAGCACTGTTCTATGTGCTGGGAATACAGCAATAGAGCTCACATTTGTAGCAGGTGGACAGGCAATAAACTAAATGAGAAATAGATTTATAAGAGGTAGTGACATACTATGAAAAAAAAAATAGCATACGGACAGTGGGGGTTGGGAGGAGGGGTCGTCTTACTCTTTGAGAACCCACCTCTCTTCCTCATGCTCATGTTCTCATTCCCCCTCTCCCAGTCTGCGGATTTGTCTGTCCACAACTGGAAAATAAGATTTTTCTTTAACTTAGTGAGGAAAATATGATAGGCAGATGGCTGGAAAGACAAATACTGTGGAATGTAAACTAAACAAAACCAGGACTTGTCAAAGCAGTGTTTTTAGTACACATTATTAAGTAATATAACCCCAAATACGTTTTGGTTTCTATAGTGAAGTTCCCTTTATCAGAAAGCCAACTTTAATGCTGCTATCGCCGGTGCTTTTGTTTGCCTTTTGCTCACCCAGGTCTTGCCAAACCTTATAAAAAGATCAAAGAGTCTTTTTGAGGATTCTGCTGCAGGAAGGCAGCAGTGAAGGACTCTGGAAAGGACAGTATCTTTTGTGCCAGTTCATAATGGGTTGGCTTCAGCTGTTTTTCCTCCACCCTGTCTCACTTTACCAAGGTGCTGCTTTTCCTTTTGCACTTCTGTTCAATTATCTCTGCAATATGGATTCATTTTCCACTCATGCCAGGTAGGTTTGATGGCTGATTTTGTTTGTATATCTATGAATGTTATATAGTTGTTCAAAAAGCACAGATTGGAGTGCAGATGTGAAGATTTTTAAGTTGTCACTGCCAATCGATGTTATGCTCTCCCATCGATGTCTCTGTCTCTCCTCCCTTCCTTTCTCTCTAAAAATCAATAAAAAATCTTAAAAAATAAAACAAGATTGCTGGCTTTGGAGTCAGCCTAGTGCAAGTTGTCCCCCTCACTTTCTGAGTGTCCTTGTGTGTGTGAATAAACTCTCTTGAGTTTATCTGTAAAATGGAAATAATAGCACCTATCTCATGGAGTTAGTTTACGGATTAAATAAAGATATTTCTTATAAGGGGGTAATTAGCACTATGCCATTAGCACCATGCCTAGAATAAGCACTGAAAAAGTCATGCATCCTACATTGTACATGTATAGACATTTTAATGTTTGCAGGTCCCCAGGGCAGCTGCCTCTGGGTAGAGCGTTGCTTCAGGCTTCCACTTCTGCTCTGTAAGGATAAGCATTCCCGTTTTCCTATGGCCGGCAAGTGAAGGCTTGGACAATAGAGTTAATAGGGGTGGTTTTGGGGAAGAGTCAGCCCAACACAGGCTCAAAGAGAAGCACAGAAATGGCTCAGGGCCTGTGTAATAGAGCTGCTCATACTGAGGTAACTGCCAGTCTCCCTCCAGAAAGAAGTTTTCACCACGGTGTGCACATCACTGTGCCACGGTGCCAGGGTGTGTGCCCTGTGACATAGAGAAAACATAAACCTCTTTGATTCAGTTTCTCTGTCTTGACTAGTCAGTCACTGTTTTGCACCTTTTCTGACCTCTTTGTTCAGATGTATTAATTTGGCACTGGTTAAAAACAAACAAGCCTCCCTATACTGTGAAATCTCCCGGGCCTGCGGATCCTCAGGGCATCTACTGGCTTCTGAGGGAGGCATGCTCCACAACCACCTAGTTGATGTGGGTGTTTACAATGTTAAAAACACTTGCTGATGATATCTTAAAGTTGCAGTAGAGAGGATTAAGGGCAGATATAAAGATTTATCTGATTGAGTTTTCAAACACTTATCAAAGGAAGGCAATGAGTCTTTCCTCTCCCTCTCTCTCTCCCTGAAACAGCTCAGATTTCCTCAAGGCTGGACAGTTGTTGCGAGGATGACTGCCTTCACTTTGCCTTGTCTGATCATCTTCAGAGTCCGCTTGTACCCCCGCACATACTTCCCACTTTTCATAACCAGCTGGAGCCTAGAGTTGATCGACTCCAATGACTTTGTCTTCTTCTTTGGGGCCACCATCTTCCTGCCTTAGGTGCGGGACGGCCCCCAACCAACCACAGCTGCCAAGATGGCTGGGGAGTGAGAAAGGAAGACCAATTTGTACTTTTTGATGAGACGATGTCTAGAGAGATTTCCCAGACCCTCAACACCAGGTTGACCTCACTTTCATACCACTAGATTTTGATGTCCCTAGTAAGAAACTTTCTGGACCTGTCACCCACAGGATTGTTAGGGGCAGGTGTTGTTCCTACTTAAATGACAAAGATCAAAGAGAGGCTCCCAGGACCACTAAGGCAGGAATCAGGATTTGTCTCTGGAGGTGGTTGTTCACAAATTGACTCTGGCTCTTTCTCCCATGGTTCTTTCCTTCAGAAGAACCCAAGGAAGTTGGGGAGTGATAACAGTATGACTTCCTTAGGTGTTCTGAGGTCTCCTGCAATTGGGGTACCCAGAGTGGCATCTGAAGTGACTTGTTGCACTGTTCTCGGCCAGCCTCAGAGCTTGCCCTTTTTCTTTCAGGCACCTCTTTCTCCTGGCTGGAGGGAGCACCCTGGCCCTGGCCGCCATGGGCCGCTTTGCTGTGCTTGTTCTCATGCCTGCTCTGTGTGCCGTGGTTCTGATCTACTCACTCAGCCCACAGGAGGTCCACAGGTGGACTTTCTTCTTTCAGATGAGCTGGCAGACACTATGTCACCTGGGTCTGCACTATACTGAGTATTACCTGCAGGAGCCTCCTTCCACAAGGTAAAGAAGTTCATCCAATTGGTGGTTCTGAGCCGACCAAGGGTTTGTTTGCACTGGTGAGAGCTGGGAGTGGTGAGAACTGGGTATTGAATTTGAATCCAAATTGTTCCATATTTGAGCAGTATCACCTTGACCAAGTCATTTAACCTCTCCCGGCCTCAGTTTCTTTTTCTGAAAAAATGTGTGTGTGGTAGGGGGTGGAGGTATAACAATACCTATCTTCCAAGACTCATGTTAGAGATGGTGAATTAAATGCCATTATATGACTCCTAATAACTACCATGTGTTACCTACGGAGCACAGCCTGCTTGGAAGTGACTAAGCAGTTTGCTCACCTCGAGTGGGTGATTTAGACACAACAACCAGCAGCCTGCCCTCCCCTTTAGCAGGACAGGGAAGGTATAAATTCACTATAAGCCTTTGCTGCCTTCCCATGGCACTTGCTATGCAAGAGTTGTACTGTCTTTGAGACTCAGCTGTCCCATCTTCCCAGAAGGAAAGCCGCCCAATCTAGGAAAGAAAAAATCAGGTGCTAATTACAGCCTAGAGAAATGTGTTCATGAGTCAGTGATATCACCAAGATTAGGGGGAAACATATGTCTGTGATCTTGAGGCCTATGTTTCAGGCTCTGTCACAATCAATATGGGTCCAGGGTCACTGAGAGAACTGGGGCTTTGACCTGTCAAGGTGGGTCACCTCTCTGATTCCAGCCTGCCATCGATTCACTCACTTTGCCATCCCTACCAAACCCAGAATCCTTTTCTCGTTTTGTGAAAGCTTCAGCGTTTGCTTCTCTGAAGAAAAGGCAAGATGGCAGATGGGTGGGGTGTGGGGGATACTGCTGGGGACGTGATGGGTTAGGATTTCAGCGGGAGGAACAAGGTGAGCAGGATCTGGCTGCACAGAAGGAAGGCTGAGCCTGAGCTGAAATGGGAAGATGGACTAGTTTGTTCTATCATAACCAAGTTCCACAGACCAGGTGGCTTAAACAACAGAAATTTATTTCCTCTGGAGGCTGGAAATCCAAGATCAAGGTGTTGGTAGGTTCAGCTTCTTCTGAGGGCTACTCCTTGGCTTGTAGATGGTCATCTTCTCCGTGTCTTCACATGGTCTTCCCTGTGTCTGTGTCCTAATCTCTTCATACAAGGGTGCCAGTCATATTGGATTAGGGCCCACCCTAATGACCTCATTTTAACTTAATTACCTCTTTAAATACCCTGTCTCCAAATACTGTCAGATTCTGAGGTGCCTGGGGTTGAGACTTCAACTTACGAATTTCTAGGGGACACATTCAGCCCTTAACTGAAGGTGAGTAAACGGGCTGGTGGCATTTGGAGGCTACTTGGCTTACTGTTAAGATAAGGCAAATGAGGTCAGGTGTCCTTAAATCCTAAGACACAAAGATAGAAACAGCCATGACTGGGAAACACTATTTTCTCTCCATAGGATAGCATTCCTAATTGTAGAGCATGTCACTGTAATTTTAATTTTTCCACAAGTCTTGCCAGTGGGACCTTCTCTACTTGGTGCTGGCAAAGGAGGGGCAGTTTAGGTGATTGGTTAATAACACATATCCACTGCTGACGACTCAGTGCACACTGAACCTCTAGCTTGATTCACCACTGTTGCTCAGCACAAATCCCTAACAAAAATCAGGAACTGGTTCATTTTTAAAATCTTCAACTTCCTATAATCTCTTTACTACTAACTTTTTGTTTCTTCTATGGAAAATCTCTCCCAGGTCCCTGATCCTAATCTTCATAAGCCATTCTTAGAAATATTATAATCAATATCTCCCCACAATATTCTTTGTCATTTTATTTGCTTCTCTAATGATAAATTTCCCCATTTATCTTTTGATCCTGCCTAGGGTAGCCTGTGGTTCTGAATTACCCAAGAGTCTTTGTGGGGGCATTCCAAGCCATGAGATTGGTCTTAATTGTTCAAACCCCCCCCCCC